CCTTTAGTTGGGCGTTGGCTGGGGGTGAGGACCATCTCAGTCCAAGTATGGCGGGGGTGAGAACCGTCCCTTTAGCTGGGCGTTGGCTGGGGGTGAGGATCTTCCCAGTCCAACTATGGCGGGGGTGAGAACCGTCCCTTTAGTTGGGCGTTGGCTGGGGGTGGGGACCATCTCAGTCCAACTATGGCGGAGGTGTGAACCGTCCCGTTAGTCGGGCGTTAATTTGACATTGTTGACGAATTTGCAATCAATTTATTGAAAGTTTGTAACTCTGCCTCATTAAAAACCTTTCCCAGTAAAACCCATGGGGATAAAAACATGGAAAAGGAAAATAGTGCAGATGGTATTACATGATGATTTAGCTATAATATTTCTTGAGCTTGTGAGCATTCCATGCCCGTGGCATCGCCCTTCTATCCAGCGTTTCGAGGGAGTAAGCGCCTTGTCCTAGTTTATTGGTTATCCGATAAGGTCCCTCCCAATTTGGGGCGAGTTTACCTTCACGGACGTTCTTCTTTCCAACGTCTGCTCTTCGAAGCACCAAATCTTTTTCTTGAAAGTTCCGGGGAATGACTTTCTTGTTGTAATAAGTAGCTGACTTTTCTTTTGACTGTTGATCGGACTGGGCGGCACATCCTCTGAGCTCGTCAAGCAAATCTAATGTTTCTTTCAGGTTCTGGGTGTTGGCGATCTCAGTCACGTGCTCTCGTCGCCAGGAAGGTTCACCAATCTCTACCGGGATCATGGCTTCAGAGCCGTAGGTTAGTCTGAACGGCGTTTCTCTAGTGGATGACTGGGTGGTTGTCCTATATCCCCATAGGACGTTGTCTAGATTATCTATCCAGGCCCCTTTGTGTGCTTCCAACTTATTCTTAATTCCTTTACTCAGCATTTTGTTGGCTGATTCTACTAAGCCGTTTGATTGAGGGTGTTCAACTGCGGCAAAGTGATGCTGGATCTGTAGGCTGTTCATTAGTTCACGGAATTTGGCGTCAGTGAACTGAGTGCCGTTGTCTGTAATGACTTCTCCCGGAATGCCAAAGCGGTATACAATACTACGCCAAAAGAACCTTCTTGCTTTCTGGGATGTAATGGTGGCCAAGGGTTCTGCTTCTACCCATTTGGTGAAGTAATCTATGGCGACAATCAACCACTGAACTCACCCAGCTGCCATTAGGAAAGGGCCTAGAATATCAATTCCCCATTTGTAGAAAGGCCATGGGGGCGGGGATTGACGCCAATTCTTCAGGAGGAGCTTTGTGTATATTGACGAACCTCTGACATTGCTCACATTTTTTAAAGTGTTCTCGGGCGTCATTCTCCATAGTTGGCCAATAAAATCCAGCTCTTAATGCCTTCTTTACTAGCGAGTGACCGCCCATATGGTGGCTGTTGATTTCTTCATGGATTTCTTTTAGCACATACTGGACGTCCTCCGGATTCAAACACTTCAGGAGTGGGGTGGAGAGTCCTCGCTTGTATAACCGCCCTTGCACTATACAGAAATGAGCACTTTTTCGGACAATTTTCCTGGCTTCGTTTTGGTCAAGAGGAATAATCCCTTCAGCTAAGTAGTTCATTATGGGCGTGATCCAGGTTCTCTCTGCTGCTTCGGGGGCCTGCGGCGAGATGCTTATGGCTATGCACGGGTTTGGCATATTATGCTGGATGACAGACCGGTTGTTGCCTGGGCTTTTGGTGCTGGCCAGTTTGGCGAGAATATCTTCCCGTGTATTTTCAGCACGCCTAATGTGCTCTACCTCGACACTTTCGAAACTCTGGATTAGTTCTTTGACTTTTTCTAGATATTTGCACATCAGAGGTCCTTTGATCTGGTATTCACCGGATATTTGAAACGTCACCAGCTGGGAGTCACTGAAGACTTTGAGGCGTCGGGCTCCCATCTCTCTTGCTTGGATTAGGCCAGCTATCATGGCCACATATTCTGCTTGATTGTTTGTAGCATTGAACTCAAAAGACAATGAATGTTCGATAGCTACACCATCTGGATTTTCGACTATTATTCCTGCCTCTGAGCCTTTGGTTTTTGAAGATTCGTCAACATATAGCTTCCACATCTCTGGTGATGGCGTTACTTCGGATTGGTCCCTGGGCGGGATGGCTTGCGTCATTTCGGCAATGAAGTCTGTAAGGGCTTGAGCCTTGATGGCGGTTCTTGGCTCGTATGTGATTTGGTACTCTGATAGCTCAATCGCACAGGACATCATCCTTCCAGCTATGTCAAGCTTATGCAGGACTTGACGAATTGGTTGGTTGGTTCTTACCGTGATTGGATGGCATTGGAAATAGGGTCTCAACCGCCATGCTGCAAAGATGAGCGTCAAGGAGACCTTTTCTACCTGCTGATACCGGAGCTCCGCGCCTTGGAGAACCTTACCCATAAAATAGATAGGTTTTTTTCCTCCTTCTTTGGATTCTTGGACTATGGCTGCGCTGACAGCTTCGGTTCCTACCACAAAGTACAGATAAAGCGTTTCCCCACTGTCTGGCTTGGTTAATACTGGCGGGCATGAGAGGGCCCTCTTGAACTCCTGGAAGGCTTTTTCGCATTCTTCTGACCATCGAAAGGCGTTCCTTTTTTTTAGGAGACTAAAAAGTGGAAGAGATTTATGCGCGGAATTTGCCAAAAAACGGGTGAGGGATACAACCTTCCTGTCAGCTGTTGGACTTCTTTAACTGTTTGCGGGCTTCGCATTTCTATGATCGCCTTGCACTTTTCAGGGTTGACCTCGATACCCCTCTCTGTGAGCATGAATCCAAGGAATTTACCTGCGGGAACGCCGAAGGCGCACTTGCTGGGGTTGAGGCGCATATTGAATTTTCTCAATCTGTCAAACACGCCTTGGAGGTCTGTCAAGTGCCGGCCTGGCGTTCTAGATTTGGCGATCATGTCATCGATATAAACTTCGATGCAATTGCCGATCAAGTCTCTGAATACTTCATTCATCATTCGTTGATAAGTGGCGCCTGCATTCTTTAAACCGAAGGGCATCATGGTGTAGCAATAGTTGGCGTTCTGGGTGATGAACACTGTTTTACACTGGTCCTCTTCCAGCAAAGGTATTCGGTTGTAACCAGAGTATGCATCCATGAACGACAACATTTTGAAACCGGACGCATTGTCAACCAGCTGATCTATGCTGGGAAAAGGGTAGGCGTCTTTAGGGCATACCTTGTTTAGGTCAGTATAATCGATGCACATTCTCCATGCCCCGTTTGGCTTCTTAACCAGGACGGGGTTGGATAGCCACGTGGTGTACTTGATTTCTCGGATGAACCCTGCGTCGTGGAGTCTTTTCACTTCTTCATCAATGATCTTTTGGCACTCGACGCCAAACTTTCTCTTTTTCTGGGAAATGGGCTTGGCTTTGGGGTCAATAGACAAACGATGGCAACATACTTCGGGATCGATGCCTGGCATGTCAGATGGTTTCCATGCAAATAGGTCTCTGTTGTGTCTCAGTAGCTTGATCAACCTGTCTTTTATTTCGGGATCCAGGGTCGCCCCGATGGTTGTTGTCTGATGATTATCGTCGCCCAGCACGACGTGCTCTAATGCACCGTCTGGCGTGGGCCTAGCATGCTCTACTCGTGGATCATCTCTTGCATCAAATTCTACCAAGAAACACTGATCATGCGCTCCCCCTTTCTTGGCAGGTCCTTCATTGGTGGGTCGGGCGGTCACTTGTTGAGATGCTGGCTGATCTTTGAAAGTAACCTTAGTCATTGGTCTCAAGGATATATTATAGCAACTTCTGGGTAATATCTGGTCGCCTTTCACCGTTGCGACCTTATTGTTTCTGGCGACGAACTTCATCGCCAATTGTGGATGGGAGATGCTCGCCTCAAAGGCGGCTAACATTCTTCTGCCGAGAATGGCATTATACGCAGAAGGAGTGTCCAACACTAAGAACTGGATATCTGCTGACTTTGATGTGGGTGGCGTTCCGAGGGAGAGAAGTAGATTGATCACGCCCAACGGCTTGGTTGTGGTTGCGTTGAAACCTGAAAGTTCTCCTGCGACTGGGGTTAAGTCATCAACTGTAAACCCCAGCACCCTGAAACATGGCAAAAACAAAATATCAGCGGAACTGCCATAATTGACAAATACACGGTTAACGCCATAGTTGGCAATTATTGCTTGAATGACAAGAGGGTCATCATGTCTTGGGAGGACATCGCCTAGATCGCTGTTATCCCAAACAATTTTGGGCCTGGTCGGACTTCAGTCTATTTTACTAATGACTTCTCCAGCAACCGCCATACATTGCTTCAAGTGCTTTTTTCTGGCGTTCGACGTCTCACCGCCACCGCTCAGTCCTCCGAAAATCATATTTATAACTCTGTGGTTAACGGTTGCGGGGTCTTCTCCCTCGTCGTCTCGCCTTCCTCTGTCGTTGGGGCTTGCTTGCGCTCTCCGGCTCCTTGGAGAGTCTTCTCTTTTGTCATGCTCATGTCGTGGTCGAGAGTTCACCTGCCTCGTTCTTCGTCTCTCTGGCGATTTACTGCGCTCCCTGTACCGCCTTCCGGTTCCTGATGGGCGTGCACCATCGCCATCTCTTCTTTTAGCATCGCCCTTAATGAGCTCATCAATCTCATCTTTGAGGTGCCTTCACTCCTCAGTACTGTGGTCGTTACTGCGGTGGAACTTACAGTAGATCGCGGCTTCTCTAGCTGGTTGCTGAGGGCGTTAATTTCCCCTGGAATCATCTTTATAATCAGTCTGTAGGACGCTGTGAGTTTGGCGCCCTGTTGTGTCACGCCTCGAAGGGCGGTTGGTATATCTAGCTGACTTATGTCATTTCTTACTATCTTCTGCTGGGCTCTCATTTTTGTTGGTTGCCTTCTCTTGGCTGTAGGCATCATCACTTCCCTTGTATTCTTCAACTCTCATATACTCTTGGGCCACTTTCCTAACTTCTTCTAATTCAGTAATTTCGTGGCGTGCTAGCTCGTAGGCAAATGGCCCCGCTCGCAAGCCTGAAAGGAGTATATGAACCTGCACCTTTGGATCTAAGCCTTGCACCTGTAGGGCTTCTTTGTCAAAGCGGTCTAGAAATGATCGAAGAGACTCCCCAAATTGATGGCGGATTTTCTCGAGTGAGTGAACGAACTTTGGCACGGGGCGGCTGGTTGCGAAGTGGGACTGGAACTTGCTTGCTAAGTCATCCCAGGACGCGATGCTTCCAGTTGGTAGGGTAGTGTACCATGTCAGCGCTCTCCCTCCCAGAAGCGTAGGGAAAGTTCTGCACATAAGGAGGTCCATTTCGCCATGCAGCGTCATTGCTGCTTCAAACTTTTGGACCCATTCAAAATGGTCTGTCTCTCCAACATACGTGGCGATGTTGGAGGGCCCTTTAAAGCCGAGGGGTATGGGAGTCAACCGCAGGATGTCGGTCAAGGGCTTGTTGCGCCCTGACATATGAGTAGGGGTTATTCTGACGTTGTGGTTGCGGCCTTGGTGGTCTGGCTGTGGATGAGGTATATGTGGGGCCTCAACAGAGTAAAAGAGAGCTGGGGCGTGATTAGGGACCTGATGGATGATATAAGGTGGTTGTCCGGGATTCTAGCCAGACGCTAGGGGTTGTAGGGCGGCAATGTGGTGAGGTGGCATGGCGTAGCCATAGAAAGGGTAACCAGCGATGTAAGGTTGGGGGAAAGGAGCAGCGATATTGTGAGTGTAAGGTCCTTGTGGGTGTGGGGCGCCCATGGGGGCTCGGTGAGCGTTATACATCGCTACCGGTTGACTGCGGGCTGGTTGTGGTCGATAGGCGGTTGGGTGAACTGGAGGGGCAGCAGCGTGGAATGGCATTCCAAAGTGAACTCCCGGTGGCGGGGGCTGATCAGGGACCACATTTTCTCCTTGCATTTCACGTATAGGTGCATGGTGACCTGGCTGCGCTATTCCGGCGCCAGCTGCTGGAAACTGTGGCCCGGCAGATAATAGTACTGGTGGGACAGCCTCTGCAGCGTGTCGCGCAGCTGGGGCTGAATGCATGGATGGCGGGGAGTTGGAATGTACAGTTTATTACGTGACCATCAAGGGTAGCCCTGGCTTGTTCCGCTCTTCTAGTCGTGACGACCATGTTAGTTATTCATATCGAAAGGACGTCTTGTGATCTTAGGTAAGAGGATGGGAATAGAAGTTTATAGTTCCCCACAGACGGCGCCAATTTACCGTTGGAATCTATAAGCCCACTATGTTCCCTTTAGGGATGAGTCAATGTATGGATGATACCCTTAGCACAGGTACAGACCAAGCTAAGGGGTATGGTGCCAAGTACAAGAAAAGTAATCAATGGAAAAGCTTGGGTGATAAAATGACTCTAAGGAAATGGACAGTATAACGATACATAAGATGCTCTAGGGGGTGCACTTGGGAGCTATTTATAAGGGAGATTGTGCTTACCGGGTGAAGGTTGGTGGGGAGAAGGTCAACTCTCCTTGGAATATACCGTTGGAATCTATAAGCCCACTATGTTCCCTTTAGGGATGAGTCAATGTATGGATGATACCCTTAGCACAAGTATAGACCAAGCTAAGGGGTATGGTGCCAAGTACAAGCAAAGTAATCAATGGATAAGCTAGGGTGATAAAATGACTCTAAGGAAATGGACAGTATAACAATACATAAGATGCTCTAGGGGGTGCCCTTGGGAGCTATTTACAAGGGAAGATTGTGCTTACCGGATGAAGGTTGGTGGGGAGAAGGTCAACTCTCTTTGGGGCCATATGCCGATAGCAGTGTTGGGCGTGACAGGCACTGCCATAGTAGCAGCGCTGTGCCTTCTGCGTCTGGCGGTGTCAGCATAGGTCACAGGGGGACAGTTTCCTCTTAAGGCATTTGGGTGACTGCTTTCGGGAGTTGAGGTCCCTAGGTGGGATACTTTGGTGTTTAGCCTTGGAAAGTTACCACATTGGGGGGTACGCGTCGCCCCAGCTGGTAGGGCTGACGTGGATGCTTGGTAGGTGCTGGGCCTTGACTATTGGGTCTGACTCTTGTTGGGTCATCCAGAACAACATCTATCACGTAATTATATATGAACAATAGAGATTTTAAAATAATTTAATATTGTAATAATATTTGATTGGATGATATATTGAAATTAAATTTACTTTATTATATTTAGTAACCATCCATTTATTTACTAGTACTTTTAACTTTTGAGTCATATTTTGTATTTTATTTTGTTTTTCAAAATTTATACTATCTACTTTTTTTAGATAACTGTGTTTTCTTGTCTGTTTGTCAATTTGAAGGTAATATTTGACTAACGTTGTATAGGAATTAACTTGAATTAATTATAAACAAAATGTAATTCTCAAATACTTTGAGATACCCCGCCCTCCCCCAAAAAAAAAAAAAATTATGTTACATCCTCTGATACATGCCTCCTAATTGGTAGTTAAATTCAGCATTAGTTAATACTCTTATTTACTTGCTAAGGTTTATAATGAATTTTAAACTCAAACTAACCTGTAATTAAATTATTAATGTCAAAATAACCACTTTTAATTTAATGAAATCTATTGAGTAATAACAAGAAAAAATATTCTTTATCAAATGGTGGTAGCTCAGTTGGCGCATGGGAGCTAAGTAGGTAGAGGTGAGAGCATGTGTTCGAATCTCCCCAATACCACCTTTGGGATGAGTTTAAAGCTTTAATCCTAGACCCGTCCCGAATCGGATTAGTTGCGAAGCAATGAACCGATTAGAATATTTCCAAAAAAAAATATTCTTTTGATATCTTGATATATTTTATTTTTTCAGGTCAGCCTCTCAACAGTTTAAGTCTACCAATGAAGCTTACCTAAGAAGTGAGCATTTAAATGCAAAACAACATTCCATGAAGGTAAGAGAAAAATTAGAGATGGCTCGTGAGCTTAACTGTAAGGAAGCTACAACAATTTTAAATATTAAAAATCGTACAAATGGTATATGAATATTGGATTTGCATGGTCTCCATGCAAAAGAAGCTATACAAGCATTGTGTGAGCGTTTGGAGAAAATCGAAAGTGAGGGCTTGTCAAGAACTCACTTTCCTTCAAATAAAAATAATAAGGAAAATGATTTTGTTGATTCATTCATTACAAAACAAGTTGGGCATGGGCCAACCATAGAAGTCTTAACAGGTATATTTTTTTTAAAAAAAAAATACTTAGGTTCTTACTTTAAACAAAATGTAGTTTGATTTGATATAATGATAAAAAATTTATTTCTAAATAAATATCTTTTCAGGATTTCCTTACATATAATTTTCATTCTTATCCACTGTAATTTTCCATTGATTTTCCAATTGTCTTCTTTATTCAAGTGTTGGCAAACACAGTCGAGGCAAACTTGTTCTTCCAATAGCTGTTTTCCTTATCGAATACGGCTAAAATACAATTTGTTGTAATAAATATATATCTTAGTCACAACAAAATAGTTAATTAATAGTGTTTCTTAATACTTTTTTTCTTCATTGTTGACATTTATCTTCAGATATCGTTTCGAGGATATAAGACCAGGAGCAATTAAAGTATGGCCCAACTTTCATTGAGAAAAAAATGATACCATTTTAGTCTTTAAAGGAGAATGCATATTTTTTTTGTATTCATATTCCTACTGTATTTGTATCATTAGTTGACCATGTAATGATCCAATTGTATATGTTGATTTCGTATTAAATAGATATACGCATTGTGATAACATCTTTTCCTAGCAAATTAAGGACAAATCACACTATTCGGACTTGCTCAGAGATCTAATTCCTACTCCCCCTCTTATAACATACTTTTGTAATTAGTGATTTCCTAATACACACGTATCAAAAAATAAAGTGGACTGTTAATAACCATTAACAAGAAAATTAATTTTTTAAAATTATATAAAATACAAAAGCTAAATATCAAATGGTGGATGTACATCCTAATATCAATAGCTTCGAATGAACGAGTTAAATTGTTGCCTTTTCTTAGAGCAAATAGGTGTTTATTCTAGGGATATCAAAATGGGTTAAAGGCCGTAGGCCAGCCCGCAAAACATTATATTTGGCCCTAATCCATTAGGACCTTTTTGTGATTGGGTTTTTTTTAACCCTAACCCTTAAAGCCCTATAATTTAACGAGCTGGAGTAAGGCTATCTCGCGGGCCAAACTTTTTCTTTCATCAAAATTTTCATTATTTGAAAAACTAAAAATTATATAAATTTAAATATTTATAAATATAAGTAAAAATTGTTATGAATGTGATGGAGAATATAAGAGAAAGTGAAATATGAAAGAAAGGAAAATGAAGTGTAAAAAAAAATAAAAGAAAGAATAAAATAAGAATAAGTATGAGCAAAGAGTCCTATATAAGGACATATCTTAGATGCATTTTTAAACATGGAAGTCATAAAAAATAAAGAGTCACAAGTTATGAACCATGTGAAAGGTCATGTATAATCCATGTGAAAGGTCATGCATAATCCACGTGAAATGTCATCCGTAATCCATGTGAAATGTCATTCATAATATTTTACAACACCCCCCTTAAATGTATTCTACAATTCAACACACCATTAGTGTGATGATTATAGAATATATTAGAGGTCATGAAAAATAAAGAGTCACGTGTCATGAGCAATGTGAAAGTTCATCCATAATATTTTACAACAAAAATGAATTTTTCAACCGTGATATTTTTAACACAGATTTTCATCTGCACATCAATAAAAATAAAATTTTCTATTGACATCTAAGCATGATATACATCCAAATTTGTATTGAAACATATTGTATACAATGCACTTTAGTAATTTTGTGGATAATAATAACTAAAAAGTTTTTTGTATCAGTAGTAGGTAAAGAAAATCAATGATTTTACTTTCAAATATATAACATACTAAGAGCAGTTATTCAATACTGGTATTAAGATAATTTTTTCATCATTACTTTTAGTTTTTCACTATAATTATTGTATTAGGGTTTATGATTTAGGGTTTGGGTTTCATGTATAAAATCACTTTAACTGCAAAAGTCAGAATTGAAAAAACTGATATGCAGAATTGTCCCTCATAAAATTCTTAGAATTTAAGTATTTTCCTTTCAGGACCATTTGTTTCTGAAAATGAATCTTCTCATGTGAAAAATTGGTCATGTGATCATGTTATTTGATCACAACCACTCATTTAAATGATATATTTTTCTCTCTCTTATCTCATCAACAATAAGTGATTGTGATCAAATAACATGGAGCAAACTTTTGGTGCAACGGTTGCACATACCACTTCCTTTCAAAATTTGCTACTTGGATTTATTTTTTTATTTTTTCTATTTTTCATCCCACTTTCATCTTCTCTCTCTTTTTGATTAGTGTTTCCTACTGAATAAATGGTACCATCGTGGTACCTTAAAAATTTCCAATAACATGATCACATAATTACTTTTTCACGTGAG